TGAATGCCAGTACACCATTTATCTAGTACCTGCTGTGTTTCTGGAGCATTTCTCTCTCTGGAGCTGTCATCTACTAAACCTTTAATTTTTATTCAAAAAAGAATCAGAACTCTCTGCTTTCCTTTTCAAATGCGGCTAGCCCAGACCTTTTATGATACACACCAGTAATCAGAGCTCTTGTCCAGACAGTTTTAGCCTCAGGTTCTTAGCCTGAAGGAGTTCAAATTTTCTGCATTATCAGCAAGCATGTCAACCAGCAAGAATATACAGTAGTCTAGGTAAGGGCACCTCCACCCCTATTTTAATAGCTGGACTACTATCAGCAAACAATACAAAATGAATGGGAGTAGAAGAAAGCAAAAAAGGAGTATGATTTTTGCCTACTTGTTGGGGCATTTGACAGGATCCGGGCAGACCTAGGTTCTTACCCCAGCCCCTGTGATTTGTAAAACACTGTTTTACAAATTTTGTATGAAATGACTGTTGGATTAAAAAAAAAAAAAAAAAAAAAATCAATACAGAATAGATATTGTGCTTGGAGCAGAAATCACAGCAGAATCCTTTTCCCCCCTCCCATGTTTCTGAATGCAGATAGCATTGCTTATTAGGATTTTGTGTTGAACTTACTATTCTCACCATCTTTTACTTGATCAACATCTATGGGAACTTACATAAGTTTAAACCCACTGGGGTTTAGGCAAGCACTGGGTAGCCAGCTGCTCTGAAGACAACAGTTCTAAGACACGCACGCAACATAAAACTGCAGCTACCCAGGAACTTCCAGGCCAACAAATGAAATGTCCAGTCAGTTAAATGTCTCCACTGTCAGTCACTAAGCAGAGGAGTTGTAGAAAGCAAATTTGGACTTAGTCACTTTAAATTCTACATCCAGTTTCAGGTGCCTTTAATCCTTTTCTTTGATCTAGTCATAGCTCTGGCTATTCAGCATCTTGCAATTACAAAGTGAGACCTGAATAAATAGAGCACCACAGTGACTCTGTGGTAATAATTTTCTTTTTTTACAAACCTGATTACTTAATTTTAAATTAATTTTAAAAGCAATTCAGGATAACAGCAGACCATTTTTTAATATCTTATTGTACTTATTAGAAACTCTATGCACTATCCAGGCCATATCTTGTACTTGGAATAGCCAGCTCACGATCCAAAAATCTTTTCCTTTCCCAAAAAAGCCTGAAAACATGGCAGATCAGAACTGTGGTACTAGCCTGTGCCATCTTTCATGATCAGTTCTGCAAAGACTCAAAACCAATTTATGTGCTGCAACAGGTGAGACACGTAAGAAAACTATTAGTTTCTACAGGACTGCAGTTCTGCACTGTGAAATCATTATGCCAGTGTGTCTACCTTAGTTCAGTACAATACATATTTTAAAATGCCTTATACCATGCTTGCAGCACTACAGCACCTAATAACAGTAACATCTCTCTGTCCTTCTTTGATTAATGTTTCTGAAGGCTTTGAAGATGAAAAACATTAAGTAATTTCAAAGAATTATTAATCTCCACAAACAGTAAGCATTTTTCTTTAAACTGTTTTATTTTGTACAGTACGCCAATTCTGGGAAACATAATGCTAAGCATTTACCGACTTTTGATTCATAACAGCCCGAAGGTGTGATTATTTCCTTCCTGCATTCCTCAATGAACTGTGCCATTTCCTTATATTTCATTCTGCAACATTTATTAGCATAAGAAAAGAACGTTCCCCAACTGCATGGCATAGTACAGTACACAGGTTTAAAGAAAAGTCATTTTTTCCTGATCAGTTCTGCTGAAAACTCATTAATTCAAGTATGTGTGTTTCTTTAGCTATGAGCTAAAATCATTGCAGGTATGTTTAAGGAAAGGTATAGATATATTTGTAGCATAAGGATACAGACATTTAAATTTAGCTGTCAGCAAGCTATCGTTAGAAAATAAGATTGAAGTATTGTTTCCCACAGAATGCTTAAGACCAAGTTTAATATTCTAATGCCAATGGTACTTTAACCCTGTTTTAATCACATTTCTGGTCCATGCAATTTGGTGGCTCCCTCTATGTAAAAAAAGTAAGCCTGGGATTTGAGAGCAATTATAACCAGACTACATACAGGGTTTTTTTATGCTCCTCTGTGACAGAGGAATTCCCCTATGAAATCAAGTATTTCTTCAACAGGTCATTAAGGCCATATTCTGCAACAAAGACTTGGCAAGGATTCAAATGTTAACAGGCTGAAGTCCTAAATTACATCAAACAGGTTGTGCTGGTTTTGGCTGGGATAGAGCTAACTTTCTTCATAGTAGCTAGTATGGGGCTATGTTTTGGATTTGTGCTGAAAACAGTGTTGATAACACAGGGCTGTTTTCGTTACTGCTGAGCAGTGCTTACACAGAGTCAAGGCCTTTTCTGCTCCTCACCCCACCCCACCAGCGAGCAGGCTGGGGGGGCACAAGGAGTTGGGAGGGGACACGGCTGGGACAGCTGACCCCAACTGGCCCAAGGGGTATTGCATACCATATGACGGCATGCTCAGCATATAAAGCTGGGGAAGAAGAAGGAAGAGGGGGACAGTCAGAGTGATGGCGTGTGTCTTCCCCGGTCGCCGCTACACGTGATGGAGCCCTGCTTTCCTGGAAATGGCTGAACACCTGCCTGCCAATGGGAAGGAGTGAATGAATTCCCTGTTTTGCTTTGCCTGTGCGTGCACAGATTTTGTTTTACCTATTAAACTGTCTTTATCTTAACCCATGAGTTTTCTCACTTTTACCCTTCCAATTCTCTTCCCCATCCCACCGGCAGCGAGCGGCTGTGTGGGGCTTAGTTGCTGGCTGGGGTTAAACCACGACATAGGTGAAGAGCATCTACAATTAGATGTACAGTTTAAGACCCTCTAAAAGAATGATAAATATCTTTGAGTCTGTTAAGTGCTTAACGTGCTCCTCTCGCTTGCCTCTCAAACAAAACAAACCAAGTAAAACAAATAATTTTGCAAAGTGAGAATGCAGAAGGTCTTATTACCCAATTAAAAAATCACAAAGGGAGCTGGTTTTAATGCGTGCACCCTATCATGATTATAACAGTTTAGCGCTTACAAAGGTCTAAAACTTTCATGTATATGAATTAATTCAAAGTAACAAATAAATTGCATCCAGGATACAATCATGATGCAACCTCGGTGTATAGACTGGGGTAACTGGCAAACAGGAAGAAAAAAAAATTACTTATCTCAATTTATTCTAATTTAGAAAGTTGGGAGATCAAAGCAAATTAGATTATAAGAAGTTCCTATTGATACTATGGGTATTCACATATAATTTCTTTTACCTTTCTCTGTCTTTAACTGCTTGTTCAGCCATTAATTTTCTTAATTCCTCCAGACGTTGTAGATCTTTCTCTTCCTGTTCTTGCCACTTGAGCTGTTTCTCAGCCCAGTACTTTTTCACCTAGAGTTTGAACAAATACAGTAAACAAAATAACAATCATTCACAAGCCAAGGTAATGAGAACAAATGAAGTAAGAAAAGCATTAAGTTAAAGAAAATCCAATTTTGATCTTTTTAGAATAAAATTTATATTTAAGAACAGTATGGGCTGACAAAAGGTTTACTAGGAAAACAAGAGGGTGTGGCGCTCCCCCAACAGAAATAGTAAAATCAGACTGCAGACACTAATTTGAGTATAATTTTCAACTGCAAACTAAAGACTACCACTTTCATTTGCTCCTTGCTTTCCTACTCTGCCATCAAAACCTTCAGCTATGCTTCTCAAGTGAGTGAATGTTCCTTGAGTTAAAATGTCCTACGTTAGCTCAAACGGCTGGATCCACGCCAGCCCAGTTCATTTCGGCTGATGATGGCACGCAGCAACTTTCACAAAGACCAGGAAACCATTCTCCGGGGAACAGAAAGCGCAGAGCACCGTGAACAGCGCAGCCAAACAAGCACTACAGCCTTGAATTTGAGTGCCACCGACCGAAGGCACCTCCACCCCTCCTGTGATATCAGCTCAAGTGCACAGCAGCAGTCAAAAGGCAAATCAAATGTGTCTAGTGTCAGAACATGGTACAAAAAGAATAAACATATTTTCTGGTTTTTCCTATAGTCCCACGTGCAGTTCTGATCCCTCCATCTCTGAAAGTAACCTTTTCATACGGAAAGAGAAGAGAAACAGTAATGATCAAAGGTTCGTTGTGTTCGTACGAGTTTTCATACAGGCACTGAAGGAACAGGATGGTGTTATTGGGATGGAGAAGTGACAATTTATGGGGAATTTGATAAGAAGCCTACAAATTCACAAGTGTCACGAAGAGGCTGGATGGAGATCAATTCTGCCTCTCCAACATGAGAGCTAGAAGGCTTCAGCTGACACTAGCAAGAGCCAGATGTGGAACAAAGAGAAGATGTGGAACAAAGCTCTCCATGCAGTGGGTGGAAGGCTGATGGAGCTCCTTACTGATGGATGCAGGAAGTTCACTCGTGTTTCAGGAAAGAGCGGGCAACTGCCCAAAGAGAGAGCCCCTGGAGAGGGTTACTAAATCGACAAACCACATCAGCATCAGGGAACAGCTGGAGACAGGGAAAGTAGCCGGGAGGGAGGCAGGGAAATTATCGTATGCATTTTCTCTATTGTTACAGCCACTGCTGGAGACAAAAGACAGGGCTGGGGGGGGCTCTTGGCCGGTGCCAGCACAGCCCTTCTCCCCACCACCCAGGGGACCTCAGCTGCTTACTGCAAAACTCAGTGCTAGGGGCTAGGGCTAACTTCACCTCATGGCTTCATGAAAATCACGCATTCTTTGGAGGATTAACAGTGATACAAAATGTATGCAAATGATGACCCTTAATACAGAATAGAAAAAACAAAGAGAAGGAGAAGACACATAAAACCACAAGAAAGATTTTAAAATCAGCACTAATAGACAAATTATATATTAGGACAAAAAGCCCTTCAGTTTACCTAATTTCAGCAACTAATCTTCAGGAAAGGTTTAGAAATTTGTAGATAGGAACCTGTGTATGAAGACAGAGGAATGTATTCAGAGCGCTACACTCTTCCTTATTATGTCAATAATATAAAACAGTTCAACCTACGTAAGGTGATTGGATATGATCAAAATTCCTCAACTCAGTCTATGAAAGATATCAATTATGCTTATTGGCAACATGACGCTCCAACCATTTCTTGTATCCTTTTACCAATGGAAAACCCTCAGCACACCTCGGGGTGTAAGACCTCCCATATTTCCTGATCTTGCAGCCTCTTGCCCTAACTGAAGCTAAGCTGACCTATCCTGCCTGTTCCAGTTATTAACACATAATAATAACCACAACACATAATAATACAACTTATATTCCATGTCATCTCCAACAGGTATCATATATTCTCTTTTCTGCCTTATACTAAGTACTCTGCTATCCCAACAAGAAGAGTTAGGATGACATGGTAGATCTACAAGGGTTAGCGCTCTTGCAATTTCTCTTTGTTGTACTTCTCACACTTTCATTTCCACTTTTTTTTTCCATTCCACATGCAGGTACCAGAAGAGAAAGGCAAGCTGGGACACAGGAATAATGACATACCCTGATGTACTTCCAAATCAGAAACCAAAAGAATAGCCAGAGAATGACATGGTGCTTCATACCACCTCAGGGCTGACTGAGAAACCCCTTAATTCCTTAGACCTTCTTGGCAATTGCCACAACAAATAGAAAGAGAAAAGCTACAAAATTCACTAAAAATTATTCCTTCCAGCAAAATAAAGACAGTGTTTACCTTGAAAATCAAGGCTGAGTTTTTGAAAAGACTGTTTATGATGACAGAAGCACATGACAATGCTGCCACTGTGATTCACTGAAAAAACAGCAATATGTTTCTAAAATTTAAAATACAGCTGGAAAAATAGAGAATAGAAACTTTAGAAAAAGATGCAAAAATCTAAGAAAATCTTAAGAATTTTAATAATCTAAGAAAATGTTAATTATAAAAGCAACTGAAATTATACCTCAATAATCTGTTGATTTTACAATTAAATGCATAAACTTCCCGTGAAAGTCTGAGACCTTATCCTACCTCCCAAAGTATAGGTAATTTCTTACAATGAAATTTACTTATGTAATTATCTTACATAGGAAAAGCTTCAAAAAAATGGCAATAAAAATAACTTCTGTATCATCCACTGAACTATATTGAATTTAAGCCTCTTTTGGAGATTTCAGTCGAAATGGCAGTCAAAATACCATCCTCTTTATATGATTGACTTTGTGCAGAAAAGCCTTTAACTATCACAATTCAGAATAAAACAGGTCTTCCAAACAGTGCTTAGATTTCAGAATTCCCAACCTATAAGCCAATCATTTCTTTATATAGGCCATTTACTACACATGAAGGACATGAAAACAAGGATGGCTATAACCATATTTCTTGGAATGCTTTTATTTAATATTGTTTAGAATACTTACGAAATAAAACACTCTCTTTTGCAATTATTCCCTTTCTGTATTCCACATTGCCTGAAGGCTTTCTCATAAACTCTAATTAGGGGCCAGTGGATATTGCTGAAATTCTACATTTAAATATATAGAAAAAATCTGATCTGCAGTCCAATAGAGCAAACATAGCATTGGTATTTAAGATTTAATGTCATTTTACCCATTCTCAGGTTTGGAAGTACTCGGCATACTCTGTCCAGGTTACAAACCAGGTGGAGAGTGGGCATTTCTTTTACACCGATCACGGATATTTTACATATTCTTCTTGCTGCCACAGAACATTCACCAGAAAAGCAGCCGCAGTGTAAGGTTAGCAGCCCTTTTTAAGGATCTAAGATGTAATACACTCAAATGAAACATATGACTGCTGACCTCAAACAGCTGCTAATCCATCTGTGCATAGGCAGAGGACTGTTCTATATAGGCATTCCACATAGGCCAGAGAAAAGTGGAAAGTTTGCACAACCAAAATATTTACACATAAAATGAACATTGCTGGTGGTTAGGTCAACACAGCCTCACCAAGCCTCTTCCCTTCCTAGTGGTGTCAGAGCCACCGGACACTATAAACACAGTGTGAGTAAGGACAAATAAGCAGAACAAGCTGTAACAAAAAGAAAAGCAGCAGCAAAGTTTCTCATAACCTAAGCAGCAAATCGTCATTAAATAGGGGCTGCCCCTCTCTCTGCACCTCTGTTTCCAGTGCTGGTGGAGAAACCACAAAATCTCACAATCACACGCTCCAACTGAGACAACTTACGCATTATCCATACCAGTCAAAATTTCATCACATCTCACCCTGCAAACTCTTATATAGAAGATGAATGCAAACACCAAATGCAGAAGTTCTGCCTTAATTTGTTATTTTATAACTTTAAATTCAGCATGAAAGAACAGTAACAACATATCAACCAAGAACAAATACCAGGAAACATATGTCAGTGTGAAAAAAAAGAAAAATCACATACAGAATAAAATTTTGTAACACAAAGCACATACACACAATCTTGAAAAATTCCCCTGTGTCTTTTTATAGAGGTTTAAGTCTAAAAAGTTCACCAACAATATCTACAATAAGCCAATTAAAGGTGAAGATAAAACCAATACTGATTTAAACTGAGCCAGGATTTCTCTGAAAGTACATGGTTTGCAAACACATAAATACGGCTTTCTCAACTTTTGAACCTGAAATGACAGTCTCAAATATCAGACATAAATTTAAGGATAAATAAAACAAACTAAAATAAGAATAAAACCATGTGTTACCTGGTCAGACCTCGTAAGTGAGCAGGAGATTGGACTAAAGACCTCTTGAGGTCCCTTCCAATCTGAACTTTTCTGATTCCTATGAAGATGAGAGTATTCTGTGTATTTTGAAACTGACCCTTGGACAATTAGTTGCCATTTTGCTAACTATATGATTTAGCATAGTTTAAAGCAAAGATTGTGCTCTGCCAAGAATGTATATTTCATCTGTCAGATAAATTGCAGAAAAATAAAATCAGGTGACCAATGTCAGTAGAGACTTCTTCAGCTAGAGAAGAAACTGGATACATGCAATATGCAAACACAGTCATGATCAAGAAGAATGAATTCACAAATAAAATAAAATCAATTTGAAATTAGGCAGCTTTTCAAATGTTGGCTCTGGGGACTTGCAGCAATGAGAAATAATGTCTGGAGACAAGAAGGCTTCAGCAACTTCAGCTTCTTTTCTCCAGGTAGCACCTTCAGTCAAGTGCTTCTTTGCAGAACTGTTGATATAACCAAATTCAATGGTTATGCAAACTACCACCAGGAATACAATAAGCCACAAGAGCTTCTGCTCTTGACCTGTTTGACATGGCATGAAGACATATTTATTTGGACAAAGCAAGGAAAAGATATTTGAGTGCTATAAAAATAGATAGGGAAATTCCAAGTAGCATAGGACTTTATTTTCATTCTTCAGCTAAGGCAGTCAGTTTCACCTGCCTGCAAGTCATTTATTTTGCTCTGTTATAATTTCTTTTCTGCTTTTAGTAAGTGTTGTAAATTGTTTTAGTAACAACTTAATCAAATTGCTCTAAGCATGGATAGTTTTGTGTTTGTTTTTTCCCCCCCCTGCAGGGAATATCACTGCAATAGACACCTCTACCAACACGAGAATCCATCAAATTCTAGGGTGTCTAACTGGCCATGTTGTAGTCCCATCAGTAAACGCTGGCTCGCAGTAAGATGTTACACAGAAATGTGGCAGATAAATAAAGACAAGGCGGCAAAATCTAAAGAGAAAACATGATAACATATATATAGATTTTGTTTTCTTCCTTCTTTTGCACAAGCTTTCTGTAGTGTGACACATACTAGATGTCACTAAAGCCTTCATATGTGTCATGAAAATACTCTATTTGGAACAGTTTAGCCTTGTTTTCTTATCTCTGCTTCTAACTGGCATGTTATAAGAGCACAGCTTTTAGTGTCCCTTCCTGCAAACATGTTAGCACAAGTAGTCCCATAAGATTCAAAGAGACTATTTACTCATCAGCATTTGAAAAACAAAGCAATAAGAATCTATGACATTCTCCAACTTATTTTTTCAGAAATAATTATGCAGTCTTAACAAATATGCCACGAGTTGGACTCTAAGCACGCCAGATTTCAGTGTAAAAAATAGTCAGAAAAAGAGGTAAAGTTCTAATAAAACAACCTCCTGGATTTTTGCCATATCATTTAAATAAAAAGGTCAACACAAATACATATGTGACACCGCTTGATTTTCTAAAAGCATTACATTCACTATAGTGGATTTCTGATTTTCTATTAAGTTGAAGTTTAGACTTATGCATCAAAGCCATTTCCCAAGTAGTCACCACATAAGTACTCAAAATAATGTGACGTAGACTTCTGATATCCTGAAATGGTTAATATTACCACTATGCTTCAGGCCCACTGTTAAGGTCCTTGTGCTGCAAAGTGCAGTGCGCTATCTTGCAGACAATATATTGTAAGGCTCATTTGCTGCATTGCAGCATACTTAACTGCAGCATTGGAGGCTTTCATAGTCTTTGCCACATTGCTAAAAAGCACAAATCTGTACATGTTAGAAATCCACTAATGCCTCTGCACTGATTTTTTGTGACACGGAGGTAGTCATATACACTTATTTTTGTACACTTTTCTTTTTTTTTTAGAAACGTAATGAAGTAACATAAGTGGTGTGTAAGAGCAGGCAGCTTTAAAGCTAAAATGGACAGTAACAAGACTCAACTAACCACTTGCTCATGTCTATACTAATACTTAATACCTGACAAGAATACAAGATAGTGAGATCAGTTAAAGATTTTCAAGGCAATTGTACACATTAACATATGCAAAAACATATAAAAAATTCTCATACTTTCTCTTTTTCCTGAGCTCTACAGATCATTTCCTGTTCTTTCTGTAGCCTTTCTTTCTCATCTTTCTTTTCTTTTCTTCTGGCAGCTACAGCAGCTTCTAGTTTAGCAGCCTCTTCCTGCTGTGCTTTCCACTGTAGAACCTGGAAGAAACAGTTGAACAGTCAGTCTTGCAGCAGACGTGTAATACTGTGATCCCACCAAACTGAGACTGGGAAGGAAACCCATTTACATGGGAAGTAATCCATTTACAAACTAAGATTTATAGTCTTTCAGCAATACATAATCATTTAGTAAGTACCACCTTTCCACATGTTAATGTGCAATTTGCCACTGTCTGGTCTGGCATAATATGCAATAAAATCACATATGAAAAGATTTTAGGCAAAATTGCCAAAACCATCTCAGTAACATCAGATCTTAAATTCCCCTTCAGCGCTTAGACTTTCAATAACAGATAAATTTATTAACGAACCTATGAATGAATGGAGACCAACGCTAACAGACCAGAGTCCGCTCACATCTTTCAACTCAGGCATTTCTGTAACAGCACTTTGCTTCCAACCAGGACACTGTGGAAATCAACAGACTCCAGTGACAGAGACTTCACCTTTTGTCAGCTTTCAAACTGTGCAAAGTTAGTCTAGGATCCCTGCCACCTGTTCAAGGGTTGTGACCAGCGCCTATAATGATCTTGCATACCTGACATCCCGCTTTTCTGTGGGAAGAGAGACATCAGCTGCAGCTCAGCTGCCCGGCAGCTTCCCAGACCGCTGGTTAAGCACATGCAGAAGCACGGCAAGGAACAGCTCCATGGCACCTCTCGTTACAGGGCCTGCCACGCTTCTTACCAATAATGTCGGGGACAGGATGGATCACTTAGCTCAACGCGCCAAAAATCCATTCTTTACATATTCCTGACACACTGTATTGGTTAAACAAGACAACACGTCCTCAGTAACTGGTAATGGGTAGTGACTTATTTTCAGGGTTCTTGAACACACTGTTCTCAGTCAGCGCGGATCCCTGATTTACCTTGGTGTTGTCAAGAGCAGTTGTATGCTCATCGGTTTCATACTGGTTTCAATGGGATTAACGATATCTCCTTTGTTGGCTTGCCAGCTCTTTTTGCAATGGATTTGTCAAGTGCAACAGAACTCTCTATTCCTCAAAGGAACAAGCATTTCAGCCATTTTTCATCTGGTTTTCTATACTACACTAAGTACTCTAAGATATTAAAGTACCTTACTTATGTTTTTTCCACCTTTACTGCATTTAACTAGCTGTGTGCACAGACTCTATTAATTCTCCTGTTCTGTGCTCGTGAAAGATTTTTGTTCAAAAATCCAGCGCTCTCTGCAGTCCGAGGTTCTCAGTGAGTTGCATCTCTGAGTGATGCCGTGTTTGCCCTGCCTCTTTGCTTAAATAACAATTATATTTTGTCCTTTGCAAAGTGTCCCAATAGACTAAACACTGCTGTAACTTTTCATGTAGTGCAGGCAAAGTAATAACATGAAAATAACATGAAATTTTACAGTGGTTGTAAAATTAAACTCTCTCTTTATTAAAAGATTTAAAGATAGCTTGTTAAAGAGATGCTCTACCTGTAATGAATGCCATGTGTACACAGACTAACCAGTTACTTTTGTCTCCTGCAACCTGAGTTTATCTTTAAAAGTTCAATGCAGTTTGCTACCATACCCAAGCACAAGCATTAACTGGTGTGTTTTTATGTTTTAATAAAAACTACTGAGTTTTGGGGTTCTTCAAGCAACCTTCATTTACACTGTTATTCTCTCAGAGTACATACAACTTTCCCCAGCTTCAACTCCATCCCCAAAGTTAAGAATTATGATTTAGCTGAGCATTAAACTCTTTTTAACCTCTTTTCTTCCATTTTTGTAACTAATTCTCAGTGGAGGCCAGTTCATAACTGTGTTTCACCTTCTGAAATCCCCTTTCTCTCCTTTCTAGGAAGAAAAAAAAAAAAGCTAAGAAACAGCCATCTTCACCAATTACATGTTTTACAGGAAGAAAGCAAAGTCTTGAGTCCAAAATTACCCTTGCGACTAGAAAAATGTAGGCAGCTAGGAGAAAAAAGGCACGAGATCCTGAAAACCCAAACCTCTCTACTTCCCTCCCTCTCTGCCTTATTTGGACAATGCTACTAATTATTTTATGGGGCAGTGGGGTAGAAAGAGGGATAAGTTTGTCTGTGCCAGTATTAATGGCACTGAGTGAATGTCAAAAAATGTAGTGGGATGGTTTGCAAGGAGGGAACATAAACATGTGCACATGGAAACTGAGTTGGGCATGGATGCTTGAAAATATGCAAGATGGATCGATTAGGATACATACATGCAAACTGCACTTGTCCATATGCATTTGGGTGTGCAGTAATGTAATGGCAGACAGCATAGAAACAGCTATTTTTATTTTAGCTGTTCTTACAAAATTATTTCAAACTAGAATTCAAACTTTTACAGTATGGAAAGAAAAATTTAAAATGTTACTGCAGTGTTCCTTAGCACAGATGTTACTCTTCATATATGATCTTTCTCCTCAGAATTTTGAAAATGTTCCCTTAACAGGATCTCACATATATAATAATAATAATAAAAAAATTATTAATGAAAGACATATTTGGTAGAGCTTCTCTGGTAGTGGTAAAACTATCCTCTCATTCCCAAAAAGAAAAAAGCACCACCCCCGCCACTCCTCCCAAATCCTTTAACCTGCCAGTCATAGGTATGTTAAGTTTCTATAAGAACTGGGGAGCATACCAAGCACTTGTGGGACACACAGAACACTTGTTCTCCCCCCACCCCCAATTTTCCATTAATTAGAAGTGACATATTAACATAAATAACCCTTAGACATAAGTACCGTAATATAAATAGCTCCAAGCATCTGCAATTAAATAATTTCATTTTTTCAGAAAAGAGAACTAAATATGACTGGTCCCACTTGAATATATACTGCACATGAATCATTTACCTTAATTTCTCAAAACAGGTTATTAAAAGAAGTACTGGGCAAAAATTTTTGCTAAGTAGGTTTCCCCCCCAGTAATTATCATGCTTTTGGTCATCCCAAATACATTAATGCATTCAGTATGTTCCAAACAGTTTCCGAAGTTTTATTTAATGACTTGATTAATCAAGACTGCCATATCACAGCATAAATACCTTGAGCCCTCTTACCGAGGCTGTGGGAGATCCACATTCAATTCTTTATTCTGTAAAAAGGAATATGAAGCCATGTTTATGGTTAAAATTATTCCAGGTTGCAGAAAACAGAATCAGAGCAGCTGAGGTTGGAAGGGACCTCTCAAGACCATCTAGGCCACCCCCCCCTGCTCAAGCAGGGTCAGCTACAGCTGGTTACCCAGGACTATGTCAAATCGAGGTTTAAATACCTCCAAAGGGTGGAGGCTCCACAACCTCTCCGATCAACATGTTCCAGTGTTCATCCACAGAGAGTCTCAGTAGAAAAGTGATGGATTTGTGCCCGTTGCTTCTCGTCCTGTCACTGGGCACCTCTGAAAAGAGCCTGGCTCCATCCTCTTTGCACCGTCCCTTCAGGTATTTATCTACATTGATGAGATCCCTGAGCCTCCTCTTCTCTAGGCTGAACAGTCCCAGCTCTCTCTGCCTTTCCTCATAGGAGAGGTGCTCCAGACCCTTCATTTTAATGGTCCTTCACTGGACTCACTCCCATAAGAAAGAAATAACAAAACCCTTTTTGAGGCAGGGACCTGTATCCAGCTGTCCTCAAAATTAAAAAGAACATCCTCATTTCTAGACTAGCTTGAACCAGGGTCTTCTCATTCTCTGACACTCTAGCTGTTCCACTTGAAAATCGCCAAGAAGCAGAAAAGCATCTCTCTTCCAGTGTCCAGACATTCACTTGGGAATGTCTTCTCTGCTGTCCACTGTCTTTTCTTTAATGTCAAAGAATTACTCTGGTGTAGAGAGGAACACATTTTCTCTATAGTTCAGTCCTCACATTATTCTCCCATACCAGTTGCCATACTCAGTTCTGGGACTCAAGTCTTTCTCTCCTATCATCTGAGATCTTATTTCCGTAAGTTTGTTCATAAGTTAAAAACATCAAGTTAACAAGCAGATGCTGTAAGATTTAAGCAAGTTCCAAGAAAAAGAATCAGGCATTTAGCCATGTTTTTAGGCATAACAGAAATGCATTTTCTTGAGGAATATGCAAAGCAAGGATTCTTGTGATGTAGTTAGGTATCATAGGGCACTACCAAAAAGGCAGGAAAGAAGCAGGTAAGAGGATCTAACATGCTTTCTTGGAAGAGTTGTCTGAACTCTCCCAAGTTCTGAAGAGAGCCACTGAAGGTGAGGAACAGCCAAGTATAAGGAGCAAGATGTATTCAGACCTTTATTTCAGGGTTTTCTATAGTTCTGACACTGATAACAAATCCAGCACTAGATGGGGTCTAAACAGCTTGCTTAGCTTTGCAAGAATGAAAATGGATAAATGAGGACTTAAGCAAAAAACTGCTACGTAGCAGAGGTTTATTAGCTGGATCCTACAGAGGAAGCCAGCGGGCTTGGGCCTGTCTCATGCAGAGGGAATGACAAACTGATTGGTTCTAAGCCATACAAGAGTAAGAATACCATCAAATGGGCAAAGAAATCCATAGCAGCTCCGCATCCTAAAGCAAGCAAGTTCCAAGGGAAGTGTCAGCAGAAGAACGTGTATCACCCTTAATGAAAACAGCCAATTACAGTTTCAAACCATCCACTTAAACAGAAATATGGAACAATAATAAAAATAGAACAAGGATTACATGAGATGACCACACTAGCAGCTAAGAGACTTCTAAAGGGAAGGTGTCAATTTTCATAAGACCCTATTTTCTGGAGCTTAGCTGTAATACCTGAATGAAACCTCCCCCACACTGTGAAACTTGTAACACAAGATCTTTGTCTAAATAAAAATTTTTATTTAGCAATTTTGACAGCAGTATGCTCATGCATTTTAGCAGTTTAAGAATCTAAAATAAAATGCTAAATTGTTTCAGTTACCCTTCACTTGCTGCACTAATAAACTTAAAAAGGAATGTTTTGAAAATGAATGTGGAAGAATATGCATCATTTCTACCTCATTTTTGAAA